ATTTCCATGCGCGTTGCCCTACCCGGAGGCTATCCTGACTGAGGAGGTGCGGGGTGAGGCAGCTGAGGTAACGATGTGGTGGTCCAAGGCCTTTCTCAATGCACATGTGTGTTGGGGAAATTTCGTTACACTCGGGTGCCCGGCACCCAAGGGCAGTGGGCGTGAGCCGCGGGTGAGCTATCGTGCCTGTAGGGACATTAGAGCCTTCACCGATAAGCTCCTCGGCGAGATGGGCGAATTCGTTTCTCTTGAGCTTGTGGCTGGTCGTTTGGCGTGTGATGGCAAGCGGTCCGTTGTAGAGTCCATGTTGGCCCAGGTTCAATGTACAGTTAGTGCAAGTTATTTTCATGATGGAGCAGCCGCCGGGGAGGCCAGTACGGTAGCTTTGCCGGTGGAAGCTGGCCGGATTGCGATTCCTAGCCAGGCTGGGTTGGTGGATCCGTGCCGGTGGCTGGAAGGCGACAGGAGGGAGACGGTCCGGAACCTGGCTGCCCTTCGCAAGCCGGAATACCTGTGGGATGAGATCCCGATCGCATGTCACCGTGTGCCGGCTGAGGAGGAGCCGGCCTTGGCCGACAGATTGTTGTCGGCGGGGATGGCCGCGCTGGTGCCTGAGAGTGACCTGCNNTGGCGGCCTGCTCTTGGGAGGCCTCTTCTGCGTGGCCAAAAACGCGACCGAGGACAGGCTGATCTTTGACCGGCGTCCGGAGAACGCGACCATGCATAGATTGTCCTGGGCGCGTTTACCGGCAGGAGCTTGCTTCGCTCGGCTTCTTCTTGGTCCTCGGGAATATCTTCGAGGTTCAGGCCATGATCTCAGGAATTATTATTACACCCTTAAGCTTCCTGACGGTTGGGTTCGTTACAATGGTTTCGGGCGACGGGTGTGTTCAAAGGTGGTGGCCAAGCACAGTGGTGACCCGAAGATTGCGTATAGGCTGGCATTCCGTGTCTTAGGCATGGGGGACAAGAACGGCTGCGACATTGCTCAGGCTGTTCATGAAAGTCTTCTTCGCAGGCACGGTGTTCTTGATCCGCGCTACACCTTAGTCTATGGAGACCACATCCCGCAGGAGCGCCTCCTGGAAGGGGTCTACTTAGACGACTTGCTGATAGCCCAGAAGTGCGAAGTCCCCGATGTGATCCCCCTCGATGGCTCCTTCGTCCCGCCACCTGCTCAGGTCGATGACGCCGACGTCATGGAGCTGAAGGCTGCGGAGCATGCCTATGAGGAGGCTGGGCTCGAGCGTGCCGAACATAAGGCTTTTCGACAGCTTGTGCATTTCAAGGCGTGGGGTGCTGAAGTGGATGGTGTGCAAGGAAAAGCCGGGGCCCCTCTTGAGGCAAGACGACAGGTGTGGTTTCTCATTGCCAAGTTGGTCTCAGGTGGCTTTGCGAGCCGTGTGGTGTTGCAACGGGTCGTCGGGTACTTGGCCTTCATTTTCCAGTTTCGTCGGGAACTCTACGGCTTGTTGCATCACATGTACAAGTACTTGGCCAAGATGCCTGAGGGCCGCTGGGTGCCGCTTCCGGGGCACATCCTGGACGAGCTCCGGAGCTGCGCTCTACATTTGCCGTTTGCCACTTGGAACATGCGCAAGCACCTCAGCTCATTGGTAGTCGCCACTGATGCTACGCCCACGGCAGGTGGCGCGGTGACGGCTCGGGTGCCCGATGCCGTAGCCCAAGCTCTCTGGCGCCACACGGAAGTGAAGGGGGAGGCGGTGCGCCTCGATAGAGACCTCGACTTTGAGGTCGATGCCAATCGGCCGCGTGAGGCCTCCCGCTTCGCAAGCATGGTATCGGAATGCCTTTGTTGGACGGTTGAGAGCGGATACACTTTTCGTCAGACCTCGCACATCAATCTTCAGGAAATGCGAGCCCTGAAGAAGGAGCTGGTGAAGCTCGCCGGGAACCCAACGAACTCGCAGTGCATCTTTCTCTTCCTTAACGACTCTCGGGTGGTGTGCGGTGCTCTGGGAAAGGGAAGATCGTCAAGCTTCAAGCTGAATGGAATCATTCGGACTATCATCCCCCACCTTGTGCTCTCCGGGATCACGCTTGGGATGCTTTGGGTGGAGACCGCCTCAAATCTGGCCGATCACCCCTCCCGCGGCCGAACCCTTCCCCCCCCTTGCTCGGCACCGCTGTGGCTTCAGCGTTTGGGGGTGCAGAGTCTTTTGGCTTGGGTTGGCATTGAGGTCTTCACCGAGGTGGCGGTCATCACTAAGGCTCATCGGAAGGCCGGGGTACCAATGCTCGAACCGTGGGGCATGGATGCTATGTCGGCTGGTTGGGAGGGCTTCTTGGAGGAGCTTTTGCGGAGTGGACAGGTCCGGTGGGCCTGGTTTGCCCCGCCTTGTGAAAGCTTCAGCCCTCGTCGCAAACTTGATCCAGGTGGCCCGCTTCGACGCCGAGGAGAACCAGAGGGTGACCCGCGGAACACCGAGGTCAGGCTGGGCAACTTACAGTGGAAATGGAGCCTGGGCATGATGAGGGTTCTCCTTGAGGCCGGTGGGATTATCTTTTTGGTGCACCCGAAGGACAGTGTGGCCTGGCGCTTAGAAGAGACAAACCGCTTCATTCAGCAGCATGCTCTTCGCCGGGTGAATGTTGACTCTTGTGCACACGTAGCCTCGGGTACTTCGTCGCAAACTCGCCCCAACCGAAAGCCGTTGACCATTGTGACGAACTCCCCCTGGATTGATGATGCGATGCGCTCATGTCCGGGAAAACATGTGCATGATGATCCCTCGCGGGGCCGATGTGCTCGAGAGTTTGGAACTTATCCTTCCGGGTTCGGTGAGAAGCTAGCTGATGCCCTCATACAATGGACGAAGGCCGGTGCCTCTCCACCGGGCGGCTTTGAGTGCTGAGTATCGGCGTGGCCTTCGGGCTGCGGCGGCCTGGCTCCTTAGCTTGGCGAGTACGCTGGGTGCTAAACTATCATCCAGAACCTCATCTCGGGTGGTGGATGCCTGGCTAGAGAAAGTGGTGAATGCATGTTATGAACGTGGAGAGCGGTTTTATCGTGTACGATTGGGCATCTTGGGTGTTCAGAGAGCTCTGCGTCTCTCGGGGCCATTGCTGCGTGGCACTTGGGCCGCGCTGCGGGGGTGGCGTACCTTGCTACCTGTAAACCCGCGCATTCCGATGTCGAAGTATATCATGCAAGCAGTGTTGGTGACGTTCCTAGCCACGGGATTTCGTGAGGAGGGCAGAGTTCGTGAACAGTGGTGGAGTGCCTTTATCGGCACGTGGTTGTCTTTCGAAGGGTTGCTCAGGCCTGGCGAAATGGACAAGCTCTTTGTAGGGGACATCACTTTCCCTGAAGGTGACTGGCCAGCTTCCGAACAAGTAGGGATGGTGTTGTGTCTAAGGGCACCAAAGACCAGAAGGGTTTGGCGAACACAGTTCGTGTTGCTGAAGGATGAGCAGTTGATCGCCTGGATGCGCTGGTGGTGCTCGGATCGACCAGCTCACCGCCGCGTGCTTCGGGCGGGGCGCCGAGATTGGTCCAAAAGGCTCGGTTTGGCGCTCAGCAAGCTTGACCTTGCGGATCGAGGCTTTACTCTCGGGTCCCTAAGGGGCGGAGGTGCGACGCATTTGTTCCGCACCACGGAGAACATAGCTCGAGTCCAATATCATGGACGGTGGAGTCGACAAGAAACAGTCAAAGCCTACCTGCAGGAAGGGCTTTCCACTCAGACTCTGACTACAGCCTCAGCCTTAGCACAACAGCGCCTCCGTCTCGCTCACCAGTCTTGGCACCTTCTTCGTGCGCCGCCGCCTCGGAGCCTCAAGGAACTTTTGCGGCGTCCGGAGGATGCCTAGTCGTTTAGCAAGTGCACTTAGGGAGCTTGCAGCGGCTCTGGAAGAGGAGGACTGGGAAGTCGTGGAGCCTACCCCTGGTGTGGCCACAACCGCTGCAGCGCCAAAGAGTGGGCCACAAGCTCGGGCGGCGGCAACACGGCGGCTGTCAGAGACTTTGCCCTCGTCTTCGTCGGCCAGGCCTTCTACCTCTGCGGCGTCTTCGAAGGGAGTGGGAAAGGCAGCTGGCGCACCTGCGGACACTACAGCCTCTTCCAACGTGTACCATCAGGACATCAGGACCTATCTCATCCTAGCGAATCCGCTTCAGCCTACCTTTGTGGGGTGGGTGCAGGGCCCTGCCTCGGAAGTATGGCCGAAGCTGGAGGCTCGACTTCCGGGCGGGCGACTCTTCGGCTCTCGCGTGCGGCTCCGGAAGGTCGCGGACGAGGTCGAGGCGCAGACCCTGTGGAACCAGCACCGGCCCGGAGTGCCGCTACAAAAGTTGCAGCTGTAAAAAGGGGCCCTGAAGAGCCCTTGCAGGACACCGAGGCCGCAGCTACTACGCTCCTGCAGGCGGTGAAGACGGCCGCCCACCAGTTGGGCAGCGTAGAGGTCTCGGAAGGACAGACTGCAGAAGAAGTGCTGGGAGACCAGGCTAGCCTGCAAGCGGCTAGCCGCTGGAGAGCGGGTGGAGCCGCCCGAAAGCTGACCGCAGTTTTGGCACGCTTGACTACCTCCCTGCAGAGCTGGACGTCTCTGTCGGGGCGGCCGCAGTCTTCTCCTGGTCGTGCTCTACCTGCAGAACGCCCTCGGCCTTTGGTGCGCGCCTCTACAGCTCCGGCGCCTGCGGCGCAACTTCGTTCAAGTTGGTGGAGCCAAGTAGCGGCTTGGCGTTTGGGGACCTTCTGCGCCCTGGCGCTGGCGCTTCTCTTCCCCCGCGTGGTCGCCCTAGCGATTGCGCTCCTCTGCAAGCTGATCATTCGGGGCCTGGTGGCTCTTGTGATGTACTTTGGCCGCGAACTGTACGTTCAACTGTCGGCCTCGCTTGCCGAAGTGGAGACTTCGCTGGTGGACTGGCTGTCCACGCAGCTGAGCGGTGGGAGTCCGGGACCCCCGCCTTTCCTCCAGGCTCCGCCTGGGCCTCAGCCGCAGCAGCAGCAACAACAACAACAAACACGTCTGGAGGCTCAACACCCGCCCACCCGCCCGTTGGACCTCGTGACAGTGGTGCTCCTCGCGTGGAACGTCTACCAGGGCTTGCCAGTACGGGGAGGTGTGGGAGTTCCAGGAGGTTGATGGTCTTTTATGCCATCTTTCATGGGGGCTCGGGCGGCAACCTCCTCGAAAAGGATGCCGTGCTCGCCTTCTTTGCGGTGCCTGACTCCATCTACGGCACCTGAATCTGATTTCGTATGAATCTCGATTGACACCGGCCAGGTAAAGAGAGCGAAAAAGTGTCCGAGCGTGTCAAGGCCAAGGCTGTGAAGGAATGGCCCCCAACATTCCTGTCTGCCTGATGCCGAGGTACATAAGCCAGCGCGGTGTTGAAGCTCAGCAGGCCTTGCCTTCCTCTCAAGTCTTTTCCGCCACCACCCCACCGCCGTTCCAGGAGGTTGATGGTCTTTTATGCCATCTTTCATGGGGGCTCGGGCGGCAACCTCCTCGAAAAGGATGCCGTGCTCGCCTTCTTTGCGGTGCCTGACTCCATCTACGGCACCTGAATCTGATTTCGTATG